TTGGATTAAAATTATGTAAATTAGCATAATAACATAGTAAAGTCCCAAATAAAAACCAAAACTACATAGATCTATAATAAAATGAAGTCCACTAAAACTGAGGCATGAAAGAATTACTTGCACAGATCAAGTTAGTATTGACAAGTGGGTTCAATATTCTTTTATTGGGAAGAAGAAAAAAGGGTTGGAAGACAGGTCCATACTTTTAAGATAATACCTGCTTGATACTTTAGATCATGAAGTTCCAAACCAGTAGAGAAGTAAGATTTTTTTTCTATGTTTTTTATGAATGTATTACATGTATTATCTTCTAAGGATGAGAGAAGAGTAAAGAAAGTTAGAAAAACATCACTCTTTTACATCCTTCCTCAAAACTTCTTTAAAAAGCTCCAGTAAGTTAAGCAAATCTATAAAAATAAAAAATATCCTTAAATTATGCAAGGAAAAATTTGCAATAAAGCAACAAAATTTATGACATTTCCAGGGTACACTGACTTTGTAATTTCTCCTGTTTAATCATTTAATATTTCCAATGTAAATAAGCCATAATGTCTAAAACTGATAAAAAATTTAAAACATTAGAAGTCCTTTAAAATTTGCTTCAAAATAATTGTGAAAGGGTGGGAGTTACAGAGAACACAAGATTGGCCAAGTGTTGCTAACTGTTGAAGGTAGGCAATGAGTTCATGGGGATTCAAGTTTCTCTTTATGTATATTTTTACATTTGAAGTTCTCCATAATAAAAAGTTTTTTAAAACTAGAAAACAGTTCACAAAAACAGAGAAGTGAATCATGTATCAAACAGAGCATTTGTTTTTAAAACTCTGAAACAATGATAACTATATTGGAAGCACTGCAAGAGCAACTTAAAAGAATACACAATATGTATTATATATAATAACATTTAGACTCACATACAACAATTTTCACTTTTCTTGTTAAAATTTCACTTGGTGGATTATTTGGATTTTATACACTAGGAATTGGAAGAATTACCTGGCACTGTAAAAAGAAAAATGAACACATTTTTTTATACTGAAGCATTAAAAAAAGAAAGAAAACAGACCAGAAAAAGAAGATGCCATGAGTCTCTAAACCCTTAGGGTCAGAAATAGAGGGGCTGACTGAGAGTACTGCCTTATCTCTCTGAAAGCTAGTCCCACTTACAGCAGTAAAAATAAAAGGTTTAATCATATATATCATATTCTAAATGCATATAAAAACTCAGAAGCTACCTTCCTGATCAAGTTTTGACAAGTAAAATCCTTATGACTCTTCCTAGGGAGGGTTCCTTTAAAAGCAAAGCATTTTTAATAGTAATTTTCTTCTTCTCTTTAAACATAAAAAATACTTCAACCAGCCCAACCAGGCAAGTAGGCCTTTCTCTTCCCCTGCGGACACCTCCTGCAGTAGAGAAGTTCATTAAGTTTTATGATCTTCCCAAGTCAGTCCTGCTTATAAGCCTCACAAAGGCCACAAATCTGGCAAACCATCATGTATGCCATTAGACATTACTAGTAAATGAACGCTATTTAGGGTTTGTGGTGGCAATAAATCAGAGTTTGGTTGGCAGCTATCAACATGGAATATTTTAACCTATCGTTTAGAAAGGAAAAGGTTATGCTGATTTTTTTCCTAATACACAACATTTTTTAACAATATGACTACAATTATATACTAGAGTGTTGAATTTTCATTTTAAAATATTTTTAAATACATTTTTTTCCCCTCAAAAAGAGCCATTTCCTTTAATTCAAACTCTCATAATTAAGGGCTTTGAAAAGAAGAGAGATTTATGAGAATGGAATCCTCTCACAAAGTACTTAAACAATCAAGATTAAGGTGGCCAAAAAGATGTGAGGGAACGCCCCCAAAGAACTATGTAGATAAGGAGACCTCATAGTATCATGGGATACTTAATAAGAGACAGATGGTAAAATGTGGCTAAAAAAGAGAGGAATCTTAACAATTATCTCACTGGTCGCTTACTTAGTTTAAAATGGGCAAATATCTTGTTTTAAAGCCTGTAACTTTCAGTTGCTTTCAAAATGCGTAGCTATCACAATTCAACAGTTATTTCTGTCCAAAAATAACTGAACGATAAATGTTATAAAAGAACACATTTTCAAGAAAAAGCAAGTATCTCATGGTATACTTTCCCTACCTCTGAACAAGAAAAAAAATATAATTGTGGTAGATTATCCATTTATCTGTCAGAAAGGAAAAATACCTTTTCATATTTGGTAGAAGGGAAAAAAGATGTTTTTCAAACTAAACCCCTCATGTGCATCAGACTGGCAGTGTTCACTGCCTGATCAGAAACCTCAAAAGCTACTGGCAGATCTACAAATATATGGATTTTTTTTTAATGATTTTGTCTTATTTTAAAAAAGCACAACCGAAATGACATTAGCCACTGAAATGACAGCTTTACCCCCCATCTCCCCACTAGTCAACCCCCTACCCCTCTATTATGCAGAATAGAGTCATCACATAGTATTCCCAGTTTCTATTACAAATGACTAGGTAAACTTTCTCTAGGTTATAGAGAATTAATCTTTGGATACTATGTTATTAGATTTAATAAAATGATTTTTTTAAAAAGCATTACATGATACACATTATAATCTACAGTGCTTATTTTATAAGTGCATGATGTTTCCAAAGCATGACTGTGGGAACAGATGGGGGGGGGGGAGGCCTGGAATTTGCTGCCCCAATTTCTTTGCTTCGGTAACACTAATGTCTACACAGCTGTTCTATTTCAAATCAAGGAGCCTGAGTCCAGCGTCCCTGTCTCCTTCTATGAGCAGTTTTGGAGAGTGAGGTAGAGCTCTGGGTAGTAGGGGAGAAAGGAGCGGAGAGAAAGAGCTTCACCCCCATCAATCATTCGGTACTTAAATCCTGTCCCTCTCGAGCTTAGAGAGGCTGGCAGGAAGATGCCTCAGCCGACAGCCGCCTTTACTCTTTGTCGGCCGTTGGCTTTTTACAAAAGAGATAACGTGCAAACTTGGATCCGCTGGCCAAAGCACAAAAAGAGACTCTAATTTACAAGTTATCTCTGAAAGCCTCAGAAACAATTTTCAAAACACAAAAATTTCTTTTGTCAGCTACCTCTTGCTTCTTAAACAGCAAGTGCCCTACCAAAGCTCTCTCTGCCAGCAATCCCAGACTCTGAAAAGACTTGTTTCTTTTTTCTAACTCACCTTTGACATGAGGTTGACTACACTTTCCTTTCAGAATGGTGTAACTAAGTCTTGTGCAAATAAGCAACTAGAGGACTTATGCTTCCTAATTGAATTCTGCCTGCTGCTAAATGTCTAAACAAGAAAAGCAGTTTGCTGGGTTTGGTTCTCAAACTAGCTAGGCCAAAACTTAAAAAAAAAAGGCAAAAAAAAGAAAAGAATCATGATAAGGGGGTGAGAAGGAAGGTATATCAATCCCCTCTCCCTAGTAATATAATGCTGTATAAAGTTGAATCAATCTTAATATTCACAACATAGTCAATACCCCAGTGCTTAGCTGTTAGCAGAAACTGAAGTGGAGCCCTGATAGCAAGAAAACCCTTGGACATTAAGCAACATAATTTACTGAGAATTACGCACTTTTAGGCTTCTAAACTAAGAATCTCAAGATTTAATGCTTGATGTCTTGTTTTATAGTCAGATCAAAATTATCTGGCGTTTTAAATCACAATGCTTTCTAAAGGTAGCTAAAAACCAACACAGAGTAAAAGTTAGTCATTTTTAAATGCATGTGGTTTTCAAAATTAAAATATATCTTAAAAACACTTGACATAAAGAAATCACACATACCATGTGAATGAAAAGCAGGAAAAGTAGTCTTTCAGGCTCTCAGTATTTGCTGTTAATTATGGTTTTAGCATATATTTTAATAGACAGCAATAACCCTTCATCTTTTATTGATTGCTTTTAGGATTAAAATAGAATTGCATGGTGGAAAATCTGTTTAAAAGGAGGACCACTCTCCTACCAACTAACAATTATATACAGTGCGCTATTATTTGTACATTCAGTTTAAACACAATCACTTTAACCTTTTAAATACCTTCACTTAAATATTTCTATACTTTGGACTTTAACTTTCCCTTCTATTCTTTGCCAACTTAAAAAATAGCAACTTTATAATACTGTATACCCAACAAACATGCACAAATAAACAGTAAAGCTTGTTCAATGCATTTGTTTGCCATATACAGGGAAGATAATGCCTCAAATGAAATAAAAAATCTAAATTAAACCTCAAATTCCACTTGAGGCACTACCATCACCTCAAGACTAAAATATCTTCAATTTTTAAAAAGTCTAACAAGGAAACTAAATTGAGATAAACTGTCAGAAATTTGTCTAATATATACTTGTAGTTTTCATTTCAGCACTTCTGCAAAAGCTGTCTTCTCATATATTCCCTGCCCCTAATACTTCAAAAATTGTTCAACCTACACCTGTGGACCTTTCTCTACTTAATAAAATATATTAAGTATGTTTACAATGTAATGACTTCAAGCATAAAATTTAATAAAAGTAGCAATAGATATAATACATTGTAAAACACATCATTACCCTTCTAGCTTCTTAAAAGTAGTATTCCGAACTAAAATACTAATTCAAACATGCTCCTCGGGTCTGTGCAATTGCATCTATTCTTCTATCTGTGGAAATGAAGCTTAAGGCTAAGTAAAACAAAGTTCGGGATATGCTTCTCCGCAGGAGTCGGTCCCCGTGGCTCCTTATAAAAACTGACATACAAACAAGGCGAAAGGAGCAAGAAAGGGTGGCTGGCGCTCCCGGCCCCCTCCCCGCCTGCAGCCAGAGGTGGCCGCCTGGGGACTGCGACCCTGCCCCGTCCACTCTACACTTCATTTTACACCAAGAGCGGAATTCAGAAATCGACTCCAGATTTATTGCAGTTTTTTCTCAAGATCAGGAGGTGGGAAGGAAAGAATGATCAAAGATGGCGGTGCCCAAAAGCAGCAGCTTTCAACTGGAGAGTCGAAGGAGTAGCTCGGACCCCACCTCGGGGGTCTCCAGGCCCACCGCGGGGCGCAGCGTCTTACCTGTTTTCTCTTTGATCTCACATAGGACACTGAAGAGCGCGGGTTTCATTCTGTGACAGTTCAGGGCATGTTTCCTAAAAAACAAATAGCAAAACACAAAGGTATTAGCATCACCTATGGAATAATATGGCGCCTTCCTTAAGTTAGATCCAAGATTTAATTCCGGCCCCCTATTTTGGAAGGCTCTTTTGAACCCCGTCAAATCAACAGAAAACTCAAGTTGACTAGTTAGCGACAACCGGCAAGCTCTGGCGGCTACAGCTCCAGCCCGAACGCAGCGCGACCCATCTGCTCGGCAGGCAGCAGCCTCGGCGACCGCGGGGCGCGAACCCGTGCGGGGAGCCGCGATCCGGGGGCAGACGGCGGCGACCCAGGGGAGAAGACAGCGTGGAGGGGCTCCCGCGTCTGCCCTCGCCGGGGCAGCGGGCGCGGCGCGGGCGACCGGCCGACTGCGGCCAGCGGGCGGTGACAGCTCGGCAAAGTTTGCTAGGCGGCCCTCCCTTCCCGAGAACTTGGCCGCCGGCGCCCGGACCCGCCAGGGAACCGCCCAGCGCCCCGCAGCCGGGCTGGGGCGGCCGCCCGCACAGCGAGGTCGTCCAGCGACCGAGCGGAGCCGGGGTGCCGGGACTCCGGGCCGAGGAGAAAGTTGCACTTCCCCCAAGTTCGGCCCGGGGCCCGCTCGCTGCGGCGTGCAGCCGGGTCCGGGCGGGAGGTTTGAATCCGTGCGAGGGGGCCGGGCTGCCAGAGGGCCGGACGCGGGGAGGTGGGGTGAGCGAAACCCACGAAATCCACGCGGCACCAAGTCCGTCCCGCGCCCCGAGAGCAACTTTGCCGACTCCCGCCCGCGTCGAGGGGCGCAGGGCAAGTCCCCCAGAGGCCGGAGCCGGCGGCCTCTTTTCGGAGAAAGTTCCCCGCCCGGGGCTGAGGCCCTGGCCCGGGCGCCACCCGGGCCCGGACTCTGCCGCGGGCCCGGCTCCCGCACACACAAAAGATGCTTAATGAGACGACACCAACTTTGCTTGCGCCTCGTCCAAGCTCTGGTCGGTGATGGTCATGATCTGGTGGAGGATGTCGCCGATGTCCTGCTTCCTGCCGTCGCCGTCCGCCCCTTCGTGGCCGTGAGGGGGAGGCGGCAGGGCCATGCCCCCCTGCACCGAGTGGCCGGCCAGGTTCACCCCGGCCAGAGTCTGCAGCATCCTGGATTGATCGTCCATCCCGCCGCACGCGGGCGGGAGCGGGCGGCGGCGGCGGCTGAGGCGAAGGCTGAGGCGGCGGCGGCGGCGGCGGCGGCGGCGGCGACGAGGGAGGAGAAGAAAGAGGGGGAGGGGGAGGGGGAGGCGGCCGCGCGCTCCCCGCCCGCGCGGGGAGGGGGCGGCCCGGCCAGCGGGGCCCGCGGCTGAGGCGGTGCGGACGGGCGCCCGGCTCTGGCTTCCGCCGCCGCCGAGGCTGAGGAGAAGCTGCGGGCGGAAGCGCCGGGCTCCGCGGTGGTGGCGGAGGCGGACGCAGCGGCGCCCGCTGCCCTCACGCGGCCGCCGCGCCGCCTCCTCGCCGCCACGCGCCCCGCCGGGTAGCCCCGCGCAACTTGCTTCTCAGCGCCCGCCGAGTTGCCGGGACGCCCGCCGCCCCCCGCGCCAGCCTGCGCACTCCCCTCCCTCGCCCGCCGCCGCCGCCGCCGCCGCTGCCCGCCGCCCGCCGCCGCCGCCTCGGCCGGGGGGGATCCGAACCCCGGCGGCCCCGGGGGAGGGAGCGGCGGCGGCGGCGGCGGCGGCGGGCGGCGGCGGAGGAGGGCCGGCGGGTGGGCCGGCCGAGAGGAGCGACAGGGGCGGAGGAGGAAAGTTTGGAAGCTAGCGAGCCGGCGCGGCAGGGGCACGGAGCCCGATGGAGGGCCCCAGCGGGCCGCGCGCCGGGCGGACAGCAGATTGATGGGGCGGGAGAAGTCGCCGCCGCCACAGCCAGAGCCGCGCACCCTGCCAGCAGTCGCCGCGGACCGGGCTCGAAGGCCGTTCGGCTGAGGGATTGACAGGCTGCCAGTGCCACTCACTCACTGCGGCCCCGGACGCCCGGGGGGAGGGGCGGGGGCGAGAGGAGGGCGGGAGAGCGCTCCGCACGCCCCGCCCCCGGGGGCGGCGCGCGCTCTCATTGGGTCGTCCGCCTCCCGCCGCCGCCGCTGGCACCGCCCCCGGGCTTCGGTCCGGCCCCTCTGCCCTCGGAGCCCCTGCCCCCCAAGAGCGCGCCACAGGACCCCTCAAGCCTCATCGCGTCCCTGCCCCCGGGATAGGCCGGCCCGCAGACGTCGTTCCCGCACCCTGATTTCTGCTCCCTAGTGTTAGCAGTCATAGGTGCCAAGAGTTGTGTACGGGACACTAGGCAACTCGCTCCAAGGCCAACCATGTGCTTCCCCGCAGCGCCCTGAGCTTCACGCCTCGGACAGCGCCTGGTACACTTTCCCGCTCTTCCCGTCGGAGGTGGTATCCTCAGGGTACCCGGCCGCCCGTCCCAGGCCAATCGAATCGCACTCAGAGCCGAAAGGGGCGGGACGGAGGCAAGAAAGGGATATCCTTATTGGAGCGTTCGAAAAGTCCTGGGCAGAGAGGCGGGGACGCCGCGGATAGGGACCCCACCCACCCCGCGATCACCATAGTAACCGAGAGGCCGCTGCTCAGAGTTGGTTCCAGCGCTCTGGCCTTGCGCTGTCCCTCAAGAGGTGACCAGGTAAGGTAGGAGTCCCTTGTCCTGCATGCTTGATGCCTGAGCTCAGCGGATCTGAGTAATATACACTTTTCTTGAAAGAGGAGCGCTTGAAAATGTGTCAGAGGAAAGTGGATTCGGGAGGAGCAGAAGGGTATGATATCCAGGACTAATATAAGTTTACAACCTTTCATACACTGTGCAATTCCTGGTAATCCAAGGAGTCCTTCAGCAAGATGTGCTTTTAGCTACCTCCAGATAGACTAAAGCTGCAAAATGAACTTTTTATTATAAAGAATATTTGTTTCGGTGTAGACTGGATTCTACTTATCAATTTACCCTACCACCATGAGTCATTTAATGCTTGTGACTCCAGCCACAGATTGTCATATATATAACACTTTTTCTTCCATTGTACTCTGCCTGCAAACGACTAAATGCTCACATTACTTGGGGGTCTAGACTTAACAGCTCTTGTGGACACTTGCGCTTTCTCTTAACCTAATTTCCCTAACAGAGCTTTGTCATATTTTCCCCATTTTAGATCCATGGAGCTCACCCTCGATGGGCCCTCCGGTTAGGTGGTTCTGAAAAGTCCTCTTGTTTCTTTGCCAAATTCAGTAAGCTGCCTTACCTGAAACCAAAAATAGGGGTGTGAGGTATGAAAAATGGTTCTTACTCTGCAGGGTTTAATGTAGGACAAGCAGTTCTTTACATGCCAGATGGATTCTTGGAATGAAGCAGGCTACTCGGTTCCAGGTTCTTTCCTTCGTATGTTGTGTGTACTTTTAAATACTCCCCACTGCAAAGCTAATAGCTAACCTTACAGTAAGGCAAGCTAAAATCTTTACAAACTGCACAGCTGCTGGAGAGGGCGTTCCAAACAATCCACTCTGCCTCTTACTTCCAAAGAACAAGCCCCCTTATGTTCATTAATATTCCCAGCTCCTCTGTAGCGCATTTATGTGTCAAGCTTCTGATGGTTCTTTTAAGCCCCCATTATGGGTTACTCATAGTCATCATCGATTGGACTTTCTCTTTATTCTTAACGTGTTTTTCAAAACTGTCACCACATCTTTATATATTTTTGCATTAAGGAGCAAGAGCAAGCAGCCGATCTTCCATAATTCTCCAAAGATGAAGATGTAAAACCACAGAATTCTATCTGAAAGATACCTTCAGCTCTAAATTCCTTCCAGCTCTAAAATTCAATGATCCTGTGACTCACTATCAGGCCTCCTCCCTGCCCTCTTTCTAGGCTCATAATCTTGACTAATCAGTCATGAGGATGAGGCTAATTAGCAATGGGGATTTATGGTTATTTCTAGCCCTCTCCAAACAATGAGTTATATAAGCAAAGCAACATATATAAAAATGTAAATAAAATTAAAGAAACACTTAAGCAAATAAAGGCAAATGGGATGTATGGGCTATGTAAACAAACAGGAACATAAAAACATAAATTAGAATTAAGAAAACAGTTAAGCAAATGCCAGCAATTAGGAGTAAAACAACTTGTTAAATGTCTCACACCCGCAGCTATTTTATGGCACACACCTCTAAACCCATGGTCATTCAGTGATGTGGAAACTTGATACCATAATTCTGCATTAAGTGGTTGGATTAGATTGACCTTCTGCTTGGGAGGCTTCCCTTTTTTGTTATTGTCAATATGAGTTGCAGTAAAAGCCAGGGGGTCCTAGCAAGGATTCCCTCACAGATTTATTGACAACCGCCATTGATTTAAAGCATAAATTCTTTTAGATTGGTTTCCAAGCCCTGATAAACAGTGTCAACTAATTTTGAATACCCCCACAATCTCCTGTGTTTTTGCAAGTTTCCCGCATGGGATGTTGCCTTGTCTCACTCAGCAATCTGAGTCACATGGTTGGTGCCTTCACAGATATTAGAATAGAACCTCTCTAAGTACCTAAATCCATCTTTGCTGTTTCTGAGACAGTGATTATTAAAAAGTCAAAGGAAATGTAATTTACTTTTGGTGAGTGTGAGTGAGTGAGTGAAGTCGCTCAGTCGTGTCCGACTCTTTGCGACCCCGTGGATCTACCAGGCTCCTCCGTCCATGGGATTCTCCAGACAAGAATACTGGAGTGGGTTGCCATTTCCTTCTCCAGGGGAATCTTCCCGACCCAGGGATCTAACCCAGGTCTCCTGCACTGCAGGCAGACGCTTTAACCTCTGAGCCACCAGGGAAGGTAACATTCATGTAAAGTTAACAGTGAAAAAGTGATGAAAACCAAGTAGAGGCGCTCTCTCGTATTCATCCCTTTCCATGAGTTTGGTTCATATTAACGATACCATCACACCATCACCTTGACCAATACAGTGATCATCACAGCAGATGCCATTTTCATGCAGTCTCTCTGAGTGGGACATTGTGCTCTGTGTTCTTCCTTCATCTTATTTCAATCTCACAACAGGCCAATCTAGGTGAAATTATTATTATTAAATATAAGGAAACAGACTGAAAGAGGGTAAGAAACTTACACAAGACCTCCAAGTCAGTCGGTATTAGACCTTGCGTTCAAATCTTGACCTGTGTGGCTACATAAGCCCATCCTATGAAACACTGCCCCCCCCAAAAATGTATATATATATGTATTTATATATACATATATAAATGTATTTATATATGTATATATAAATATAAAAAATTCAATTAAGGGCTTCTCTAGTGACTCAGTAAATGCCTACAATGCAGGAAACACGGAGTTCTGGGTCAGAACTGGGTCAGAAGATTCCCTGGGTCAGAGGATTCCCTGGAGAAGGGAATGGCTACCCACTCCAATATTCTTGCCTGGAGAATTCCATAGACAGAGGAACCTGGCCAGCTACAGTCCATAGAGTTGCAAAGAGTTGGACACGACTGAGTGACTAACACAACAACATCGGATTAAAAATCACAAGGCTTTGACAGGTAAACTGTAAATTGATGAAATAACCAAGCACTTAATAAAAAAAGGTTAACTCTGTGAGAGATTAGAGAAATCTGGGTCTCATGGCAGTAGAGCAGGGAAAATGAAGAATAAAGCCCAACAAGGCTATTCTTCATAGCTATCTAGGACCTTGCCTCTCTGAGGCTTTCCAGCCATGCCTGCCTTCACTAATCGTCTGCTCTAAACTCTGGCTGAATATATTGCCTATAATAGGTAATTTACCACCATACTAGATGGACCCATGTTGTTTTCTCTCAATTCACCCATTTCCTCACCTGGTTCATTTGCATGTTAAGGACAAAGTATATATTTTGAGATGGACCTTCACATGACTGATTTGACTTTAAAAAACAAAAACTAAGATGTTGGGACTTTCCTGGTGGCCCTATGGCTAAGATTCTGAGCTCCCAGTGCAGGGGGCACAAGTTTGATCCCTGGTCAGGGAACTAGATCTCTTATGCTGCAACTAAGACCTGACACAGTCCAGTAAAAAAAAAAAAAAAAAAAAAAAAACCTTAAATGTCTAAGAAGTCACTTTGGGGAAACTGATTAAATCCTTATTTCCAAACATA